TTAACTAGATTTAGACGAATATGAATGTTGACAAGTGCTTGAGGATAAAACTTGTATTTTTTAGCTCTTAGTTCTGCGGTTATACAAAAAAAACGTCACCAGAGGGTAATATTTCCGTCGTGAGGTATTTGCGAGCAGAAGGAGCCTCCAGTGTGTAAATACTGCAAATTTGATAAGTATCACACTGTGCTTTGGGACGTATGAGTGTTTACGCAATGTGTCTGAGTGGGAAGATGCAGAGATTTCGTTGTCAAAAAAGACTCCTTGAAATGGCCGGAAGGGAAGGAGCTGGGAACAATGAATGGCCTGAGAATCCGCGTATTTGATGAAATGTTTGTTAAGTGTATATATATATATTATATATATATATATATATATATATATATATATATATATATATATATATAATATATATATATATATATATATAATATATATATATATATATATATATATATATATATATATATATATAATTATAATATATAAATGTAATATTTATATATATATGTATATATTATATATGTATTATATGTATATATGTATATATATATATTATAAATATATATAATATATATAATATAATATAATATATAATATATTAATATATATATAATATATTATATATAATATATATATATATATATGTCTGTATGTGTCTGTATGTCTGTGTGTGTGTGTGTGTGTGTGTGTGTGTGTGTGTGTGTGTGTGTGTGTGTGTGTGTGTGTGTGTGTGTGTGTGTGTGTGTGTGTGTGTAAACGCATATGTTTATGTATATTACTCTTCGATAATGGAGCTGTTACCATTTTTTAAATTCATAGTACGTCAATAGCTACTGCTTATATTGCCATCGTCTACATGTATCTTTCTAATGTTTTTCAAAAAGTCCAGAAAAATACTTGGGTATTAGTATAATCCTCTTGTCGGCAAGGAAAAAGTACTGCAAGACTATAAAAAAACCAGGTCAACTAAAAGGCTATATGTCATTTCGTTACACAGGAAACCCCTGCTTACAGCGTTGAGTCCTCCTCCTATAAGCCCCGCTATAGTTTCCTTTAAGAACTGTTTATTATGATTCAAAAAGTAATTTCACCCATTCTCGTGAAACAAATTTCTTGTCGAGGAAAAAAAAATATCCAGCAACATATGCTAACGAAGGCAGGCTTATGGCTAACAAAAGTATGCAAATGAATAGTAGCGTTTGTGTTATAATGATAATGAGTTCGAGAGAAAAATTGCGAGATAAAGCACACAGCCTCTTGTCTCGAAGGTATTTCCATTAAGCTAGATTACGAAACCGTATGCGAGATTAAGGTTCTTAAAAGCATCAGCTGCTCAAGGTTATCTCTGAATTTATGTAAAAGGCTGTGACTTAGATGATAGCATTTTTTTCTCCATCTTATTTATCTTGCTTATCTTTCTTGCTCTTAAGAATAGAGAGTGTGTTAACCTGGAGTTTTATCTCTGGCATGGTGCTGGTTTAAATAGCATTTTAAAGGGAATGCTGTGGCGTTCGTTTTGCTTCTTATCTCGAGACAGCATTGTTGTTGTTATGATTTGGCAAATGTTATAAGATATTATCATTAGAACTCATCATATATCATTACATATCAATTGTATATTACAAAGACCAAATTACATCGGCCGTAATGCTTGTTTTAATTCAAGATAATTGAGGTTTATGTAAGGAAAGTGAAGTTACAACCACATATTAAAAATACAAAAAAGTTGCATTTTATTTTACTAAAAGTTTAAAGTGAGATATTATACCAGAGCCTCGTCGCCTGTCTTCATATCCGATAGAAGTAAGTGTTGCAAGTTACGTGTTATTTAGAGGGAATGATGTAAATGTAAGTTCAAAGGATTTTCTTATTACAGACTGACCCTGGTTTTAAATGCCGCTGGTCTACTTGAAGTGTAATAACAGGTCCATACCAGCATGGACTGAGCTTTGTCGGAGCAACTTACTTTCGCCACATGTTTGCCATGTTGGTTTACAGTACAGTCGACATATGAAGTAAAGGAAATATTGATAATTGCAGCATATGTCTTGAAAGAGAGAATGGCTGTTATTTGGCGGTTATTAGCAAGTACATTTCTTTCTCTCGCTGTCTCCCATTCTTATACATAAACACACTTGTACATGTATCCATCCATCCTTACATATACAGACCAGACAGACACAGATGTAGCAGTCGTGTGTGTATTTTGACAAGAGTTGGATAATCCTCGTATTAGGAATACAATAAGATGAATCTCTTCCTAGAACATATTTTCAAGGTATTCCGGTGTATTCTTGTTGCCCCAGGTCGTCCGAAACGCAGTATGGTATAGACGCTTTTCTCCCATTTCGCTTCTAAAGTTTTATGATGATAATTTGAAAGTAATATTGGACATCTGTTTGTATTTTCTATATCTGGTTCGAAATCACCATATTTCTTCACGCGTCTTTAGCAATAACGTATCGGGTTAACCTTTTCTTAGGGGCGAGTGCCAGGTCATAACACGCGTCATTTGATATGTCAGAATAACGCAATTTCGCTTTGGTGTTATTCTACAGGTTTCATCCGGACTCAGGCAATCAAAGTTGCACCGAGAAAGAACAAAGAGCAGAATACAAGTGATTTATTTCTGCTCTTTGTTGGTGCAAACTAGGGGCCATGGGTTCGATTCCTTGACACGGAAGAAAGTTTGAAGTCTGTATCAGTTTTGGAGGTTTTATGTGCCGCCGAGGTGGTCGATCATCCCGAGAGAGGGAAGCTGAAGTGATGCTGTCGTTGGTGTTCCTGGAAGTGTTTTTTCTTTGTTTTTTCTCTCTTTTTTTGGGGGGGGCAGATTCCAAATTGTCGTGAATGGTTAATGGTTTGATCAAATATATAAGATTGTCGTGAAATGTCTGTGGTCGAGAAGTTTCAAGTTGAATGATTCCAGGTACCCCAGCTTGACATATGTATGACCGAGAAGTTTCACATTATTTGTAGTTTTATTTATTTACTTTTCTTATCCACGGGAGGTCGGTGAAAATATGACCCCAGCTTTTTTTTTTTTTTTTTTCTTTCTTTCTTTCTTTCTTTTTTTTTCTTTTTTATATTAGACACCTCTTTTTTATTTTATCGAGTGCTAGACTAAGTAATCTCTAAAGATGAGAGCAAATGTGAAAGAGAAAGTGTGCTCCTTTATCGTAGCATTTTAGCGAAAGTACAGTTTGTGAAGTGAAAAGTATAGTCAGCAACAGCCTGGTAAAGCAAATTTGTGTTGCTGACCGAAATTACATTTTATGAGCTTTTGGTTTTGGGCTGTTGATGGTTAGCCTTGTAGGTATGTTTGCTTGCGTGCTTGTATGTAAGTTTGTGTACGTGTCTGTACATACCCGTCCTGTGTGCGTGTGAATGTATTGTATGTCGGTAGGTGTGTACTTAAATGTGTGTAGCATGTGCGTGTGAATTTATGACTGCTTATCATCATCACCATCACCACCACCATCACATCATCACCATCACCATCACATCATCATCATCATCGTCATCATCATCATCATCATCATTGTCATCACCATCACCATCACCATCACCATCATTATTGTTATTTATGAACTTCGCTTTAAAGTTTCCTTTAAAAATGTTCCTAATGAGAAAATTATCGTTGGAACTACTCTACTGAACTAAAACGTTTTGCAGGATTTAGAGACACGTTTACTTCCTCAGTCTGCCAAATAGGCCTAAGAGATTTATACGATTGAAATGGCTTTCGCACGATATATTTAGAGCATACGTTTGCTTTTCCGATTTGAATTAAAGGAAAATAGAGCGTGGTGCTGACACGTTCACTGTGGAATTTACTGTCAAGGAGATATTGATTCTGTGAACGTGCTTGTGCTTGTGTGTGTGTGTGTTTGTGTGAGTTACGTTTGTATATATGTGTGAATATATGTGTATATACATTTATACATTTATATATATATATATATATATATATATATATTATATATATATATATATATATAAACACACACCATGTGTATGTTTATATATGTATTTATATGTATATGTATATGCATATATGCATATGTGTATATATATTATATATATTATATATATATATATATATATATATTATATATATTATGTGTGTGTGGTGTGTGTGTGTGTGTGTGTGTGTGTGTGTGTGTGTGTGTGTGTGTGTGTGTGTGTTTCTGTGTTTCTGTGTTTGTTTGTGTGTGTGTATATACTTATATATATGTATATCTATCTATCTATCTATCCTATATATCTATATATATATATATATGTATGTATGTATATATGTATATATATGTGTATATATGTATACATGTGTGTGTGTGTGTTTAATTATATGTTTGTATAGAATGAATATGTGTGCGTGTGTTTATTGAGAATAAGAATAAGGTAGAATAAAACGATGGAAATTAAAAAAATGTTTAAAAACGCTCCATTCATCACAATGAGAAAGCACATTCTGGCCAGATAGACAAACAACAAGAAAATTACAAAGACACGCATTGTACGCCCTGGCTCGAGGATATAGTCCAAAATAGCAGGTTTCATTGTTCTGACTCTCTCGTAATTGTCATATTATAATGAAGAGCGAGACAGTTAACATCTCAGTCAGGCACGGAGGGAATTAGACGCTGTGGCATTCAGCTCTGGAGAAACTTCTGTGAAGAGAATTGGACGTTATTTTCCTTTCATTAAATTTCATTCTTCCTTTTTCATATTTTGATTTATTACGTTGATATTTTTTTCTGATACTGGGACCAAGTATGGTAGATTGTATAGTTTAAAGACAGGAGCAAGCATGGTCGTTCTAATATATCATCAGGGTATATCAGATATGTCCTTTTCCCCTCATATTTCTCCCCCACCCCTCTGTACTTTTTTTTTTACCTTGATGTGCTACATAATTATTTATCAACAGATTTACCAATATCCTTTATGTTAAATTATTAGTAAGTAGGTGCTATTGCAGAAATTTATTGTACTGGTGTTTGAAACTCATTTAGATTGACATAATTTCTATGTTGATTTATTTGTGTGATAATAAGTGCTTACATTCATTTTGATATGCGAGTAGTCAGCTTGAATTAATGAGACACTTTTTCATAATGTGATCTATATTTATTATGTAAAAATTATCTCTATTTGTTTTACGTAATATACATAGAAAGGGAGCTTTGGTTAGTACAGTTAGTGGTATCCGCCTCCGTTCTGAGGGAAGACGACGGCAGGACCAGAAACTTTGGGGTGCTGAGCCTTGCCGGAGAAGCTGACCTTGGCCACGAATCCCCTGCCGTGGTCAGCTGTGTAGTCCACCTGCAATTGGAAAATAATTGTAATAATATGCAGACGTAAACCGAGCAATATAAGCCTTGATACATTTAAAATGGTATACGCTTTAGCATGTCCAAACGGTAGATCCATGATTACTGTTTGTTTGCGCCCATCTGGGAGGGCGACGGTGTAGGATCCCCACAGGCTGTTTCCGTCGGACTTCTCACTCTGGCCGAAGTTGGTTCCCTTGTAAGCGTCATTCACAGCGTAGTTGAAGCCGTACGGAATTGGGCCCTAGGGGAGGATGGCAATAGTTTAGTGGCATTGTCCATGCAATCAAACTAATATAAAGAGTTCCGCAGAAAATAATATACTCACAGAGGAATACACTGGACCATAGTTGTCTGGGTTGGCATGCGCAGCCGCCAACACGACCAGAATTACAGTAGCCTGGAAATGAAGACCTTTTGTGATGATACTGACAGGGCATGAATTTGGTACGTCTGAATATCTGTTTTTATGATGATTTTATGAAAGGAACCCGAAAGTGTCACTTCATAAAGAAACCACGACATTAAACTGAAATTATTTTTCATTCATTGTCACTTGAAATGTTGTGGTACAGTTTGTAGTGACACCACATATGCACTGCAAAATTTAATTATATTGTAATATGATAGCATATGGTAAACACATATAGAGAAACTCACTTGGGATATCATTTTGTGAGTCTCAGGTGAACTTGTGGTGGTCTCTGAAGATAGAATGGCTCTGTAGTGTTCGAGTTGCTCTTTATATACTGCCGATTGTCATTTAAAATGCATTGAAACGATGACGAGGATTTTTTTTTTATGTATCTGGTGCACTCAACTTTGATAGAGATTTGTGCATAATCTGCTGGATATATGCTGTTGTTACTATTTCTGTCAGTGTGATTATTTTCATTGTTTTCATAAGTTTTCAGTTTGTGTTTTAAAGGCTTTAACACTTATACTTTTGTATGAATAGCCATTTGAATTTTATCGATATTGTGATATGTATCCGCATTACTGCATGAGGATAATGTCTTTTAAACATATTAATATTTTGGAGTAGATAAAAAGGCATATTGATTTGCCATCAGAGATTAGCAAATACTGAGATCTTGTTGAAAAAGCACTGGCGATGGCGTTATATACAGTATATGGTTTATATGTATATTGTGTCTGAGTTAGTTTATGGGTGTCAGTTTGCATGAGTGCGTGCGTGCGTGCGTGCGTGTGTGTTTACATTTGTGTGTGTGTGTGTGTGTGTGCGTGTGTGTGTGCGTGCGTGCGTGCGCGCGCGCCTGTTAAATTGCGTATGATGCAAGAGAGAGCATACTAAATAATTCAAGTTTCAATTTATATTCTTGCATTTTGATAAGCTTCCTAACGTCCCATTTTATCGTCCTGACCCTAAAACAAATTATAACTTTTACGAGTCATCAAGCAGTCGCATATATTCAGAATGCCATCTAAATAGTCTTGATTATTTGGTGGAGAAATTAAGCGACTGAAAGGAATTATAAATAATAGCATTATTACTGTTGTTGTTGTTCTTCTGCTTCTTCTTCTTATTAGTATTATTGTCGTCACTATTGCCATTATTGTTATATTATTATTGTCATTATTATTATTATTATTATTATTATTATTATTATTACTGTTACTACGTTTATCATTATCGTTTCTTATTTTTGTTGTGGAGGTTATTGTTGTTGTTATTGTTGTGTTTACTGGTGTGTTTCGACATTGTTATTATTATAATCATTGTATTATTATTATCATTCATTGTATTATCATATCATCATTGTATTATTATTATTACCACCATTATTTCCATCATCATTATCATTATTACCACCATTATTTTCATCATCATTATTATTATTACCACCATTATTTTCATCATCATTATTATTAAATTCTGTTGTTGTTATTGTGAGTATTATTGTGTGTTCTTGCTACTTAGGTACTGTTACATACTATTATACAGATATAATGAAAAGGGAATGCATCAGGGTCTCAACTTTCCCCTTGCATTCATTCACCTCATACCGTATTAACCCCTTGTGGAAATGGGATAGAATGCATTGCTCCAAAAGTAACAAAGCAATTAGTGTTTTTAATTACTTTAAACTCCACATAATTAATAGAAGTGTAAATATTTATAAAAACCCTGTACTTCACACAGTGGGAAACAAGGTGGTAAGGTTATGATTTAAGGCCAGTGATGAGGTATGGTTTAGAGTATAAATAATAATGTTTATATGATTGCACTAAAACTTGCTAGTGTTTATTTAAGTCTTCATATAAATCATGTCAAATATTTAGGTATGGTTGAAGAGAAAGAGAATAGAAAATGTATATTTATGTATATATATATATTTTTTTTCTCTATTCATCCTTTTATTGTAGTTTATAGCAGTTCCCCGTAGAATAAAATCTACTTTAATTAATATTTTGTTGTAATGCTTGCTTATATTTTATATAACGGTACACTTCTTTGTATATTTTTTTCTATGACACTTGATGTTTTACGTTCAAGTAAAACTGAAGTTTTCATTTGGTTTAGTTGACAATTTTCCAGAGGATATAAACAGAGAACACAGTGTTTTTCATCATGCTTTTTTATATTCAGAATGTAATATTATTTACATATACTTATATATATTGTGCATGGAAATTGAGCGTTGGTAAGTACAGTTAGTGGTATCCGCCTCCGTTCTGAGGGAAGACGACGGCAGGACCAGAAACTTTGGGGTGCTGAGCCTTGCCGGAGAAGCTGACCTTGGCCACGAATCCCCTGCCGTGGTCAGCTGTGTAGTCCACCTGCAATTGGAGAGTAATTGCACTAGATGAGGAAGTGTCCGTTCTAACACTTTAAGTACTGTTAGTATGAATGGTAGATATGATACAAATAAAATATTGGAAGATAAATTACGATTTGCTTGCGACCATCGGGGAGGGCGACGGTGTAGGATCCCCAGACGCTGTTCCCGTCGGACTTCTCACTCTGGCCGAAGTTGGTTCCTTTGTAAGCGTCGTTCACGGCGTAGTTGAAGCCATATGGAATAGGGACCTAGAAAGGGACATAGAGCAGTATTTGAAAGCGATGCGGTATAGCGCAGCTAAAAAGAAATATATGATAATCGAATTATCAAATAATACAAAATCACTGAAACAAAAGATACCTACAGAGGCATAAACTGGTCCATAATTGCTAGGAAAGGACTGGGCGACGGCCAACACCACCAGGATTACAGTAGCCTGTAAGCAAAATCGTAATTTGTTTATTTCATATTTTGCCGTGTAATTTCCATAATGGAATATGAAATATATTCGTAAGAGAGGCATTTTACCGTTTTGAAATTGAATAATTATAATAGTAGCCTTTTTCATATGTGACATCCAACGTATTAGCATATCGTGCAACATTTTCTGAGCTATATTTTATTTTAACGGCATGCCATAAAAAATTGAATAAATCAACAAACGCACTTGGTAGATCATCGTGTGACGCCTGCGGCTTTTGGAGGTAGAATGGCTTTGCAATGCTTATGCTCTCTTTATATACTGGCCACTGTCACTTGGAAGGTAAGAATGCGATGACGAAGACAGTTTCTCAGCCTTGACGAATCAATAACACAAGGATCCATTTTAGATGTTAATTGCCCGGTAAAAAAATGTGTTATGAATTTGTTACTGATATTTGTTTTTATTCTGTTAGTATTTTTTTTTTCATTTATGTATTCATTGAATTATAGTTTCAAAACATTTATATATAGATTGCTGGTAATTTTTCATTTGGGTGATGGTAATTGTGATAAAGGACTTGACTTGAGTGTCAAAAATATATTGAGACTAACAACTATATACTCCTTTTATATATGTGTGTGTGTTGCATATATATATATATATATATATATATATATATATATATATATATATATATATATATATATATATATATGTGTGTGTGTGTGTGTGTGTGTGTGTGTGTGTGTGTGTGTGTGTGTGTGCGTGTGCGTGTGCGTGTGTGCGTGTGCGTGATGTGTGTGTGTGTGTGCAGTGTGTGTGTGGTGTGTATGTGTGTGTGTACATATAAATACATACACTCAGTGGTATTTGTATTTATGTTATGTAAAGTATTACGTTCAACTATTTCGTATAAGTATATAGTAATTAGTGTGCATAGTGTTTGCATTTATCCAGATGAAGAATATCCCTTACAGTTTTACAATAAATGGCATATAATATTTAATGTAACATTTACTGTCCTGTTTACATTTGTTATGTGAGAGAGACATTACATAAAGTTGCTTTGTCTATTTCCGGAAGCATTGCACGAGTATGTACTGTATAAATGTTTGTGACAGCTTGTGTAAATGAGGTAAATTCAAAGTTTTCATCTTATTTAAAACGATTTCACATGAATTATTTGTGATTTCATATTTTGAGAATTGAAAAGTTTTATGATATGGTGAAAGTATAGCACGAAAAGTAGTTTTGATTAACATTTTCAAATATAGTCAAAATTCTAGTGATGATGAATTATCGAAACGTGAATTGCACATCTTACATTTTTAATTATTTCTTCTCATTCATTTCCCTCTGTAATTGTCACAGCGATCCCTACAATATAAGCTTCTTTTGGATTATTAATGAGCAGCATTTTTGTTTCCTTAAATTTACTTCTTTTCTTTCACCTTATCATCATTTACGATTTGATGATAGGTGCTAATATAAAATATGATTTTAACACATTTTCTAACAGGAAACTTTTATTCAGTGCAATGTATTTGTGTTTATTTATTCTATATATGCTTCAATGCTCCGTAAGTTCGCTCATTACCTCCACATTGAACATATGTGCGCATTTGAATTGCTCTTGTAGGCTTATGAAAAAGATGTATATATTCAACGCTTAAATAACGCAACGCTAATGGTATTTCAGGTTGATAACGTAAGAGGGATTTGGAGTATTTGATATAGTAAAGGATATTTTGCATGTTTTATGCTCATCTTCCATGAGAACTTGTTTTATTGATATGGGGTGGTATGGGGATGAAGAGGAAAACGTAAAGCGAGCAAAAACAAAATCAAATTTTGGAGTTTCTTTTCGTTATTTCTGTGTTTGATGTAATAAAAGTTGCTTTCGTAATATCTTGAATTGAGGAAGTTCTGATTTGTATTGGTTATCGTTATGGAAATGTTACTGAACTGGAAAGGGATTTCCTGGTGTAGGGTTTCGTTTTGATTGCTATATATTTGTGTAGGATATTTTGAAACACGTTGGAGTTAAACGAAGATTTCTGTTTCTGTAAATATATATAATTCTCTCATGTAATACAGTCACATACAGCACTAAAAGGGATTGTCATTTAATGGTATCCGCCTCCGTTCTGAGGGAAGACGACGGCAGGACCAGAAACTTTGGGGTGCTGAGCCTTGCCGGAGAAGCTGACCTTGGCCACGAATCCCCTGCCGTGGTCAGCTGTGTAGTCCACCTGTAGATGAAAAAAATGTAATTGGAAAAGAATATGAATTATTATTATTATTTTTTTATCGTTGTAAAAGATATAACCAGGCGGAAAAACAAGATGCGGAGTATGATTACAGTTTGTTTACGGCCGTCGGGGAGGGCGACGGTGTAGGATCCCCAGACGCTGTTTCCGTCGGACTTCTCACTCTGGCCGAAGTTGGTTCCTTTGTAAGCGTCGTTCACGGCGTAATTGAAGCCATACGGAATTGGCCCCTGGAAGTGAAAGTGATGATTTAGAAAAAAAGAAACAAAGCAAAAACTGCTTCAGAAGAAATAAAAACAAAATAGGTTATCTAGTCACTTACAGAAGCATATACTGGTCCATAGTTGTCGGGGTTGGCCTGTGTGACGGCCAGCACAACCAGGAGGACGGTGACCTGTTAGTGAAATAGATCATGTGCAACAGTATTATTGTAATATTGATATGTATTTGATCGTCATTGAAACGGTTACACACACGCGCGTTAGCTTGCGTTAACATGTATGTTGAATTCTAAATGTTTCCTGAAAATAGTACTTCGCATCAGCACAGTGCAATTCAGAAATTATATTTCTCAGTACTGAATACTTAATATGTTTTGCTCTGACATTAATTTTCATGGCACCATTCTACATTTTCTGGTTCTGAGTTTGGTATACTGCAGTATTTCTATTAACACACAACGTCAATTATAACCAACGGTCAGAATAGAGCGTGCGTGTAGGCGATATTCACCCCGTCTCACAAATGTACAAAGAAAGATGATCAATATGAACAGTATATGAATTTATCTCCTTGATGACCGTAGCGACCCACAAAGATATCATTCCACTTCTGAGTAAATAAATAAACGAGTGAACACACTTGGTAAATCATCTTGTGAGTAAAGTGGTGGTGCTCTTGGTCTTTGAAGCTAGAGTGGGTGTGCATTGTCCAGCCATTCTCTTTTATACCGCTGACTGTCACTTGCAACGCTGCAATGACGAAGACCGATTTTCCAGTCACGGGTTTTCATTCAACCTGGATAATTCAACTTCGCAAGGGTATGTATTTATAGAATTTTTGAATGGAATTGATTTGTTACGGTAAGGAATTTCGATTGTGTTTTTATTATAGATTTTAATAAATGCAGACGTCCTTTGAAGTGATGAGTGTATAGCAGATTTTTTTGTGATGTCACTGATTATTCATTCCAAGTAAATATTGGCAATGATACAATATTTCAGATTATTTGAATATTATTGTTATATTTTAGAAGAATACCAGGCAGGTTTAAAGATATTAAGCATAAGCAACTGTACCTGCACACACGCACACGCACACACGCATTTGTATTATATGTGCATTTATGAATTAATGGAAACAAACGATGTTATAGTTAATGCACTTAAGTTAAGCTCACTGTATATGCTGGCCTCGATATCTAAAAGGATTGCAGAGCAGAATTATTGACACAGACTTCGGATGTATATAACTGTTATATAGAAATAGAAAGTAATGCCATGAGATTTGAATTCTTTTTTTTATGAAGCCAATGGAAGGATGAAACAATATATTTGGTCATTAAAAGTGAAGTATGGTATAGAATTGGTTCCCAACCTTTTTTACGCTCGCACCCCTAAGAAAATGTTACTGTGTCCTCGCATCCCCTTTAAATTTAGAGCTTATTTAAGGATAAAGGAGGTGAATATTTACTAAATTTGATCAACAAAAGAGAATACTCGTTTTCATTTTCTAATAACATGCTAACAAAAAAACATGTCCCAGATTATTTGAATAAACCCTACAAAAACAATCAGTTGCTTGAAATATCTACATGTAAAAATCAAAGAATTACTTTAAAATGTTTATGTAAATGGATTTTAAATTCAATCGCCCTTTTCTTCCTGTTTCTTGATTATGAGTAATAAATAGGTTAATTGCTTGTCTTCAAGATGTACACTTCTCGCACCCCTTGGAATGCTATCTCACACCCTGGTATAGAATAAAGAGAAACTTATTTGTTACATACCGTTTCCCACATCTTCATGTCATGAGGGCACTGTATTGTGTTCCGTAATTTCTCCGGTTTCTTTCTGTTCATCGCCATATGAAGTTCTTTAGTATTGTTATTTTTTTCTTTTAAATTTCTAACATAGTTACTTGACAGGTTTTACGCTTTTCTTTTTTTTTATTCAAGCTTAGCGATATGTCGAGAAGGATTAGTGTGTGTGTGTGTGTGTGTGTGTGTGTGTGTGTGTGTGTGTGTGTGTGTGTGTGTGTGTGTGTGTGTGTGTGTGTGTGTGTGTGTGTGTGATACGCATGCACGAGCGCACACTAGGATTTTCTCTCATTTTGAATATTATTGTGAATATGTACTTTGATTCATTATACACTCATGGGGATGGCTCAAGTATTTTTTTTCTCATCCTCATGTAACCAGGATTCAACATTAGTTTAACAAATAGACGGAAATCTTGACGCCAATGCATTTCTTTACATTTGGATGTCCAAAATATATAGGATCATAGTCTTGGACTGTAAGAGAGAAAATTCAAATATCTGTTTTAAGTAATTCCGTCCAAATTTATATAGAAGGTATAGAATCATGCGCAAAATGAGAGGGAGTGCATAGTAGAAGGAATGTTTGTCCCTGTGATTTCATAATTAGCATTTTACAAATCGCTGTATTTGAGTATGCGAGGTTGTGAGAGGAAGAGGGAGAGATTCAGGGTTTTAATGTTGTAATATTAGTTTCTTTACAAATACTTGTTGGGTTTGGGTATTTGATGTGGAAAATAATGTTGATGGTATGGGTGACCTGTACTCAGTTTTTTTCTTTGGTCATTTTGGAACCGCAGGTTGCAGATGAGAGTAAATAAAAGTATCGTATTAACTAGTTATGATACATTCCTTTATTGAATATTATGTTGAGTATAACACTAGAAATACGCTAGTCGCCCCTGTCAGTGGTATCCGCCTCCATTTTGAGGAAAAACGACGGCAGGACCAGAAACTTTGGGGTGCTGAGCCTTGCCGGAGAAGCTGACCTTGGCCACGAATCCCCTGCCGTGGTCAGCTGTGTAGTCCACCTGCAAATTGCAATGAAAAATACAGTGTAAGGTGCACCATATCAGCAGACGGGTTATTCGTTTCAAATATTTCCCAATTGTATTAATTTTGTACAATACGGTTACTAAGAATAATACAAAATCAAGTGCATAATTACAATTTGTTTACGACCGTCGGGGAGGGCGACAGTGTAGGATCCCCACACGTTGCTGCCGTCGGACTTCTCACCGTGGCCGAAGTTGGTTCCCCTGTAAGCGTCGTTCACGGCGTAGTTGAAGCCATACGGTATTGGCCCCTAGGGATAGAAAAAGGGTATTTAAGATAGATATTAATTTAAATTCACCTAATGTGCTTCAGAAAATTAGGATCCATAACGCACTGACCGAAGCATATACTGGTCCATAGCCGTCCGGGAAGGCATGTGTGAAGGCCAGCACAACAAGGAGAACGACAGCCTGTAAGTGAAATAGATTGTATGATTTTCTCCCAGATGTACATGGATATAGTTTTTTTTTTAGAAAAAAAGGAAACTTAATACAAGTTCCGACGTTAGTGGTCATTATAGTTCGTTCCCTGCACATTACTTCTATTCTGATTTTGATGTATTTACACCATTTTCTGAGATCTCACACTTGTAAATTTTCAGGTAAACGCACTTGGTAAACCATTTTAGGAGAATGTGTTGGCGCTGTTAGTCTTTGGAGGTAGAATGGCTCTGCATTGTTCACGAGTCCATTATATACCGCTGTCGACTGTCACTTGGACTGTCACAAGACGATGACGAAGATTGATTTCCCGGACGTGAATTTTTCAGCCTTGATAAGCCACTCTGATCCGAATTCTGTGGCTGTCGTTGAACTCGGTTGGCTAGACATTTTTTGAGATTTTGGTATCATAGTTTTTTTTTCCATTTGAAACTTCTTTTTTCGGTTTCGAATAATTCTGCTTTGAAGTTTATTGTCGTAGAACTTGTTGAAGGTAGCTTTACCGATGTGCCATATTTTCCTGATGCTTGAATGGATTTCCAACGTGTACAAAAATATTTTTGGTTTAGTTATTATTATTATTATTATTATTATTATTATTATTATTATTATTATTATTATTATTATTATCATCATACTGATAGTAAGGATTATTGTTATTTTATCATCATCATCATCATCATCATCATCAACGTCGTCATCACCATTACTATTATCATTATTGTTGTGGTTATCATCATTTTCATTTTAATTATCATTATCGTTATCATTATTATCATCGTCATTATCAATATTATTATTGTTGCTGTTATTATTAATTTGATTACTATTATTGATATTGGTATTGTTATTGATATTGGTATTAATATAATTAATGATATACTAATGTTGGAAAATATGATAATAAGGATTATTATAATATTAATTCATGATGATGTAGGTGATAATGATGATGATGTCATTATTACTCTTATTATTAATTTTATTATAATCGTTATTGCCATTGTTTTTATTATCATCATTATGTTAATGATAATGATAATAACAATAATGATAAAAATGATAATGATAATAGTAATGTGATATCATCATCTGTATCATCATAAATTATTCTTATTATTATCATTACAAGGAATATCTCTGAATACATGTCAAAAGTAAGTCAGTTCTGTAAAGTTGTAGCTGTAACTCTATATAAATATTATAGATAGATCGGTGGATAGATATATAATTAGATAGATATAGATATGCATTATTAAGGAATGTTTTATATGTTATCTCATATACAGTTGACATTTTGAAGACGGAAGTGAATTATGATATTGCAATATTACATATGATATTGTAACTAGAATTTGCAATATATAATGTACAATAATGCTTAATATAGATTGACTAAGCTTCTGTTCTTGCATTAATAATAGCTCGAAGGATCAAACAAGGCATTATTTCGAGACAAGACTGGATAAAGTGAAAGTGCAAAATATATTGAAATATTGGAAAAAGAAATAATGTCATGAGATAGTTTTAAATTCAAATTTCATGAAGAATAAAGCTTAAATTCACACTTATCACTGGTAATATCAAAAGACAATTCGGTTGGGAATCCTTAAATATCTTACATAATCAAATAGTCTTTAACCTGTTCAATCAACAGTAATTACCGGTTTGGAAATGGAAGTGCTAACGCGGAAATATATTGTCTTGGCGAAGGAGTCATTATAAATCACCACCTATAATGAGACGTGATGAAATAAGGGCATTGGAAGACCGTTATTCGGTGGTAATTTTTCATGGGGATTTTGGATATTTTTGATACAATACCGTAATATGTAAAGCGAAAAAATGTTACATTGTTTTCAGACTCTTTTTTAAATATGGTCTGACATATTATCTTAATATAACAGAAGCGCATATTATTTTGTCTGTAGATGCCGATTTGAAAATTATACTGATACACTTACGATTCATTTTTTATTCATAGTTGAATAGTAAAGAATATATAAAGAATATATTTACATTTACATATATTTATTGAATATATTAAGACGTACAACACTAGAATCAGAAGAATTTGTCATTTAATGATATCCGCCTCCGTTTTGAGGGAAGACGACGGCAGGACCAGAAACTTTGGGGTGCTGAGCCTTGCCGGAGAAGCTGACCTTGGCCACGAATCCCCTGCCGTGGTCAGCTGTGTAGTCCACCTGTAAAAGGGAAATTGTTTAAGAACGGTTTATGGTGAGGCTTAGATTTGTAATATACAAAGGCATTGGGAAGGAAGGAGTGAGTGATGCATATTTATAATTACGGTTTGTTTGCGACCGTCGGGGAGGGCGACGGTGTAGGATCCCCAGACGCTGTTCCCGTCGGACTTCTCACTCTGGCCGAAGTTGGTTCCCTTGTAAGCGTCGTTCACGGCGTAGTTGAAGCCGTAAGGTAAAGGGACCTAGAAAAGAAATGTTCAAAGTAACTGGTTTTCAGTAGATTAAATAATACAAAAAGAAAGAACGAAAAAAAAAATACTTACAGAGGCATACACTGGGCCGTAGTTGCCAGGGAAGGCATGGGCGACGACCAACACAACCAGAATTACTGTGGCCTGGATGTGGAATAGATTACATGTAACGATTAATTTAGAGCTGATATTGAATTCTAACGGTATTTGTATGTGTATTTGTATCGTGTTTCTATCATTGATGAGCGCGTTTATCTGATACCCATTTATTGCGAAACAAAATAGGCATTTCACTGTTTTACTACTGGAAATGTACAACTATATGTATTACATTTAATTATAGAATTTGTTTATTTATATAATAAATTTGAAACCTTGGTATAACATATCTAACACGTTCGAGTAAGTTAATAAACGCACTTGATAAATCATCTTGTGAGTGAGAGGTTGTGCAGGAGGTGTCTTTGGTGGGTTGACTGGCTTTGCATTGTTCGAGCATGCTTTTATATGCTGCAGACTGTCACTTAGGATGTAATGATACGATGACGATGACTAATTTTTCGGTCTTTGGAGTTTTCAACCTTGATTAGCCAATGTAATGGTTGATTGTCGTCAAGCGTTTGTTTGGAGATACATTTGTGAGAGGGTGGATGAATGAATGGATGGATAACTCTCTCTCTCTCTCTCTCTCTCTCTCTCTCTCTCTCTCTCTCTCTCTCTCTCTCTCTCTCTCTCTCTCTCTCTCTCTCTCTCTCTCTCCTCTCTCTCACACACACACACAACGCACACGTGAAGATATATCAACAACATGGCTCAACAGGATGGGTGTTCGCCTTGCACCTAGGCCCTAGCTGCTGCCTCCCTTCCTGGCTTCGTACTTAGTTTGCCCAAGTACTTTCTCCCCCTCGAGAAATTCCGGCGAACTCACCCCTTTGTCACGGCCGGAAGTACTGACACCCCAAAATGCAGAAGCAGGCACCTTCCCAAGACAGGAGTCGCAGGATAAAAGGACGTCTCGTCAGGCAGGCGAGAGAGACCGAGCCGACAGGAGAACAGGAGCAGACCCAGAACAGGGCAGCTCACCCTCCGCCCTCAGCACCCGAGGCACGGGTCTCTCGTGGGGTCACGCCTCTCCCTCCCCCAATAAACCAGAAAGCCAAGCCCCCTTTCATTCCACCACCTCTTCGCCCCCAACTCTTTCACAACCTATTCATGGTGCAAAATTGTATTCTAAGTATATTTATTTTATTTATATATTTAACGTATTTGTATTAGGATTGTTCCCTGAGTTTTTTGTTTTATTTTATTTTTTTAAATTGTCCTTGTTATCATGATTTTTCTTTGACTAATATCACCAGTGAGTAAGGTGAGTAAGATTATTATAGATATATGTGTGTGTGTGTGTACTTATATATATACATATATATATATGTATGTATATGTATATATATGTATATGTATATATATATATATATATATATGTATACATATACATATATATATATATATATATATATGTATATATATATATATATGTATATGTATATGTATATATAGTTTATATGTAAATGTGTGTGTGTGAATCATCTTATTAATCCCTTTAGTAAATCTTGGTGACAGATATATATTTACAATATATATATATATATATATATATATATGTATATATATATGTATATATATATATATACATATATACATATATATATACATATATATACATATACATATACATATATATATACATATACATATATATACATATATATGCATATATATACATATACATATATATACATATATATACATATATATACATATACATATATATAATATATATATATATATATATATATATATATATATTTATATACATAGAAATAGTGTGTCTACGTATACTGCACTATTTGTGTACAATCCCCACCACACAAAACACAAATGTTTTTTTTTTTCTCTCTTTTTGTGAATAAAATTTATTATTCATATCATGATTTTACTTTGACGAAAATATATATTCATATGTATGTTTGCCAGTATAGCCTGTATCAAACACACAAGTATCAGTGATGGACAAAAATCAATAACAGAAAGGAATTAGAAGGAAGTCATGTATAATTTGACATGATTTCTTATTAGGCATGATTAAGGTTTCATTGGTATATGTATAAAGTTGGACAGTTCAGATTTGTCCAGAGGTCAGTTTTTGTTGGTATTAGATATTTTTAAAAGTAATTTTATATTATTTATGATTTTATTACTATCTTATATGTAATTTATGTTGCAACGAAGATCCTTGCCTTATGATTTTCTAATGTAAAAATTTCAGTAAGAAAAAATATTTCATTTGGTTGGTGATTTTTCTTTTTAATTATTCATACATCACAGACAACACGTAAGCCATGTTTTTCATGTTAATGGTATCCGCCTCCGTTCTGAGGGAAGACGACGGCAGGACCCAGAAACTTTGGGGTGCTGAGCCTTGCCGGAGAAGCTGACCTTGGCCACGAATCCCCTGCCGTGGTCAGCTGTGTAGTCCACCTGTTGATAAAAAAAATGTAATTGGTAAAGAATATGAATTATTTTTTTATATATCGCTGGAAAAATGTAACCAGGCGGAAAAAAAAGATGCGGAGTATGATTACAGTTTGTTTGCGGCCGTCGGGAGGGCGACGGTGTAGGATCCCCAGACGCTGTTCCCGTCGGACTTCTCACTCTGGCCGAAGTTGGTTCCCTGGTAAGCGTCGTTCACGGCGTAGTTGAAGCCATATGGTATAGGGATCTGGGAAATGCGAAAGGTTAATTAGGAATATGTATGTCTGATTCCTGTTGTTGTGTTTGTAATTCTGTATACATTTTATATACTTACAGCAGCATAGGCGGGTCCGTAATTTGCAGGATTGGCAAGTGCAACAGCCATCACTACAAGGAGGGTCGTGATCTGAAAACACATGATGAGTTTTATTCACTGGCAATATTAATCGTAAAATTGTTATCTTATTTTCACTGCATCATATAATTATCACTTGACAAGGGAAGTGGCGCCATGATGAAGTGCCCATGTCTTGAAAATAAGTGTAATTTTCGCGAATTTCCAAATAAGGAATTCAAGCACGTTCAAAGAAACCTACTTGGTAAATCATATCAACGAGTGAGCGGTTGTAGTGTGCGACTG